ATTCTCAGAAGAACACAAGACCCAATCATTCTCTCACCTGTTAGAATATTATGAAAGGCAGCCTCAACATTGGTGGAATCTAACGCTGACGTTTCTATGAATGATAAGTTGTTCCTCTCTGTGGACAAGCAAAGCGACAGAATGTATGGTTCCATTTATCAAAGACATCAACGAGAAAGGATAAAACAACATAAGTTGTAGGAATATCTCTGACACACCACCCCCCTTCGTGCAGGTCTATAGCCAGAGCCCCTCTCCCCCCACCCCTTATACACATACATGTCTTGTCCTTTTTTCGGGATTTGTTATGAAATAAAAGAGACGCCCTCGATCAACTTTTTTGGAGAAATAGCTTAGTAGTTTAAAGGCAACGTTTTGGGGGGTTTGTAAACTAAGTAATCTAACCATGGTATTTAATGAAAAAGCGACAGAAAATTGAAACGCATGCGATCTCAATGACAGAAGATATGAAAGAAATGTTACTCATTGTATATCACAATGAGTCAATCAAAATAAACCCACTGTCACCCAGTAACCACTGAACAGAAAACAACTCAGTCTTGCGGCTCATGCAGCCAGGTAAAAAAAAAAAAAGAAAATTAGATTTAAACAAACAAAAAAACTAACACCTTACTACGGTACTTGGTCTAATAAAAAAAAATCCCTGCGGCGCAGACTGTAATTAAATACTAATGATTAGATCTATATAGAAAACACCTCTTTATATTTGTCGAAAGTGCATGAACATTGAGATTGTTTAGGTTTTGGGGAATTCAGAGGCACATGCAAAACATCAGGACAATTCGCCACTTAGTTTCTGAGTAATGAGGTCTAAAAGTTGTCCATTTGGTGTTGTCCGAACTATAGTCACGTTTTGGTTTAAACTTGGCTCAGCTCTGGTCATGTTTTAGTTTAAAACGAAAATAGAATTCGGAATATCCGGTTCCTTTTTTCTCCCTACACGTCGTGAAAACACAGCCGCTAGCTCTATTTTTTTTCTCTCTAAACGTTAAAACACACAAATGGTTATAATATTTAGTATTAAAACCGTTAGTTTAAGTTTACTAATAATAATTGCATTATTGTGTTATTTTGCTGTACACTCGCATTTTTTGTCTATCCTGTGAACAACTTCGAGACTTTTCGAGACATTTGGCTCGCGGCTGTTCTATTTGTACCATTCCCTCCACTATTTACTGTCGGTACGATGAAAAAACATTTTTAAAAAATAAATTAATCGTTGGACTACCAAAGTATTAAAAGGCACTACTTGGTGCTATTATGGAAAACTTGTGTAAATGTCCATTCTTTCTGTGTTGTAATAACTTGTGTAGCTTTGACAGACCTCCGAAAACCTTTGATCTATAGTTTTTTTTATAATAGACGCAGGTGTTCTTTATACATGTATTATCATCAACTGTCTGAGATCGAGAGTGAAAGGAAGAAGGGGAGAGGAGAGAGGAGATAGAGTGAGAGAGAGAGCGGGAAAGAGAGAGCGGGAAAGAGAGAGAGAGAGAGAGAGAGAGAGAGAGAGAGAGAGAGAGAGGGGGGGCGAAGGGATTGGGTGTTTTTTTTGTTGGTTTTGTTTAGGGATAGGGGGTGACACTTGACATAAAAGTCAATCAGTCAGCAGAAATGAAGGGAATCGGTGTTAGGTGATAGACGTTTACGGTAGGCCTACTTTCGCACTGCTTGAGGTCATGTAAGTGCTGAAGATTAGAGTTAGAGTTACATTTGTACAATCAATGTACAAGAGAGAAGCAATAAAAAAAATTGAGTGGACAGTTTTGCGGTTGTCGAAAATCCTAATTCTGGTCGCTTTACTTTGTACACTGGTATGATTATCTCTCTTTCTCCTCCTCACTCTTGTTGCTTGCTTGTTCTTTCTCTCCCTCTCTTTCTCCTCCTCACTCTCTCAGACTCTCTTTTTCTTTTGCCTCTCTCTCTCTCTTTCTTACTAACCTCTCTTTATCTCTCTGGTACATATGTACACGTATCTCTCTCTCTCTATCTATCTCCCCACACCCTTCCCTCTCTCTATTTCTCTCCCTCTTCTCTCTGTCCAGGAGAATGTCCAGATAACCACAAGCCAGGAGACCAGTGGTTCAAGCCTGGCTGTCAGAGATGTAACTGCATGGAGGGAATGTGGTCATGTGTTAGGTATGTTGTTGTTGCTGTTGTTGCTGTTGTAGCTGTTGTAGCTGTTGTTGTTGTTGTAGTTTTTGTCTTTTGTTGTGTGTTTTTTGTTGTGTGCGTCTCTCAAAGATGTGCTTGTATGGAGGGGAGGTGGTCAAGTGTCAGGTATGTTGTTGTTGTTGTTGTTGTTGCTGCTGCTGCTGCTGTTGTTGTTGTTGTTGTTGTTGTTGCTGTTGTGTGTCTGTCAGAGATGTGATTGCATGGAGGAAAGATAGTCTTGTTTCTGGTAAATGTATGTTGTTGTTGTTGTTGTTGCTGCTGTTGTTACGGTTGTTGTTGCTGTTGTTGTGTCTGTCAGATATGTTACTGTATGGAAGGAACGTGGTCGTGTGTTATGCATGTTGTTGATGCTGTTTCTGTTGTTGTTGTTCTTTTGTGGTTTATTTTGTTTGTTTGTTTGTTTGTTCTTTTGTTGTTGTTTTTTTTTTTGTTTTTTTTTTGGGGGGGGGGGGGGCTGTCAGAGATGTGCTTGTATCTGTCCTCGGGGTTTTAAGCACCCCGCATTTATTTAGCAAAGTCCGATCCTTTTTTGCATAATTTCTGATTACAGTGGAGTCCACTTATATAACGAGTTCGGAAAAAACGAGAAGTCTGTTATAAAGACACTATTCTAAAACCCCGTTTTTTACTCCTCTTTACCTTTGTAAATAAAATACTGCTATAGCGCTATCAGACAAACATGTGAGTCGGTTATAGCGGAATATTGCTTCTGCTGTGCACAGTGCATAGGCCAATTATACATAATGCAAAACTTCACCAGTTGAGAAACTTGTTGATGATCTTGCAAAACAAAGGATAGGAGATCCCATGTGTGTCAACAATTAAGGCCGGGGCAACTGAGCAGGGAGGGTGTGGCATGCGCAGACAGGCAGAACGCATCGCATGATAGGCCAGCGTAAGCCTAGTTTAGATTATCAAGGCCTACCATGCCTCTCACTTCTCCGATGCGGGAATGGAAAGGTCACAGTGCTGTGATGCATGGAGCGAATGTGTGACGTGCGCAAGCAGACAGAATGCACCACAGGATGGGGTGGGGGGGGGAAACACAGCGGTCTAATTAGCCCAGAGCCCTTTCTTTCTTATCGCCAACGCCGAGCTGTCAGTCCACATCGCTAGATCTAGCACTAGAGAAAGAATCCAGATTCGATTTTTGATCAAGTAAGACCTAGAGGTCATGTTGAAACAAAATCATCACCAGGGGAGATAGCAACAGGAAATAAAAAGAACACCAAACTCATAGATTAGGCCTACTCTACAGTTTCCCCTGAATTTATTACTGGATCCCTTATAGCGAGAATCCAGCTATAACGGACACTTTGCTCCGGTCCGCTCCCTCTCGTTATAACAGGATTCCACTGTATTTTCCTTTACCATTCTTTGTTAAAATTAACAGAATCGCATAATGTCACATTTGGGCTCAGTTTGCATTATTTCAGCTTCTTTGCCGCATAAAATCGCGGGGACAGTTGTATGGAGAGGATGTGGTCTTGTGTCGGGGGTTGTTGTCGTTGTTGTTGTTTTGGTGTTGTTGCTGTTGTTGTTATTGTTGTTGTTCTCGTCGCTGTTGTTGTAATTGTTGTATTGTGTGACTGTATTGAGGGAATGAGGTCGTGCGTTAGGTATGTTGTTGTTGTTGTTGTTATTGTTGTATGTGTTGTTGTTGCTGTTGTGTGTGGCTGCCAGAGATGTGTCTGTGGATAAAAGAAATGTTGTGCTAACTATAAAATACAGACTTTAAAACGTTCAATTTCTAATTTGTACACCGAATATTAGATGCGTTACAAGAGAGTAGTCTAACAAATATAAAAAAAGAAGGAAGAGAGATCAGGATGATAAGTGTTTGATAGGAAAGAAGGAGCAAACCACACCAGAGCACCCACCAACCAACAACAAAATATTTTAAAAGAATGAAAAAATGAAAATATTATGCTGGTTTGTGGGTTTTTTAATGGAGGGAAAATATTTTAAAATCCCCATTTCTTAAAACGTACAATGTACTATAACATGTTCACGTCGGTTTCCTAGTGGTTGGGCTACCGGACTTGTAATGGTGAGGTTGCAGGTTCGGAGGTTCGAGCCGCGGGCCCGACGTTGTGTCTTGGGAAAGGCACTTTACACGAATTTTCCTCACTTCACCCAGGTGGGAAAGGGTACCCAGCTATAGACAATGAAAGATCTTGTCAGTTCGTTAGTGTTTGAGCGCTTAATCAGGTTCTTGCAATGCTTGCTTCCCGGGAAGCTTAGAATGTTTCTGAGTGTACCATGGTCTACTGGGTAATGACATAGTGTAAAGTACATAGAGCTTGCTTTCGAGAGGGGGCATGCGCTATACAAATGCTTTTTAATTTATTTATCATTACACTTTACACTTACTCCCCAGCTGCGGCGTGTACAGCTTTGACAACATTGACCTGACCAAGTGTTACATCCAACACAAGACAGAGCTCGACTACCCCGACTGCTGCACCCCTCACATCACGTGCAAGGGAGACGAGGGCTTTGACGACACCCTGCTCACTCTCGGATAGACCACAATCTTGTAGCAGACCACAATCTACTCAATCTTGGATAGACCACCATAATCTACCCACTCTTGGATAGACCACAGTAATCTACTTTATTCACTCTTGGATAGATTACAATAATCTACTCTTTCTTTGATAAACCACAATAATCTACTCACTCTTGGATAGACTGCAGTTCACCCACTCTGTAAGTTTTTAGTTTTATCTTTAGACTTTAATTAAAATGAATAAAATTCGGAGGTTACTGATCTAATTTGAGAGTGGGTTCTCTTCTTTTGAGTTTTGTCATTGGCTAGGAGGGTATTTGTAAGTTGCTAAATCAGTTTGTTATTATACGTTGCAAAAAAACATTATTACCATGATTAAAAACGTAAAGTTGATCCCGCATCCGATCAGGATATTGGTGATTGCCTTGTTAGTCTAGCATCTGCGTTTGTTGCCATTTTTTTTGGTCCAAAAGTTGCCACAAAAATAACAAAAGTTGCCATTAATTTTCAATCTTTCAACTCCTTGTGACGACGTATTATATAGCATGTTGGTAGAGGTAACTTAATCTAGCACCAGAATTTCTTGTGTTCTGTTTTCAGCAACCAGAAACATTTGTCGCCAAACAGAATGTAAAGCTTGAAAAATAAAGGTTTCACAACAGAATGAAATCAAAATTAGAACAGCACATAAACAACCACAAAAATTAACAAATAAAGACGTGTGTTAACCTATCCGAAGATTTGCCGTTTTAACCCTAAACGAGTGTAATTTAAGAAAAAGTACAGGATATTTACTTACATGTAAATTATGGAATCACACACACAGGGGGCCTGCCAGTGTCAGTATTCAGTTTTGCTAGAGACACGCTCTACCACAATACATTTGTTTTTAAAATTTTCCCCCTGGGTTTGCTTTTCGATTTTTTATTCCCGAGAAGAGTTTTTTTTTTCTTTCTTTTCTTTCTAAAAAAAAAATGGGGGGAAAAAAGGCAAAGATCGTGGCCGCGATTCGCGGGTCATGGCCGCGACAAACGCAGATGCTAGGTTAGTGTGACAACTTCCTGTGCCAACGGCATATTATTGTAGGGTAGACAGCTCCTTTCCACGCCACCCTTACTTCCCCAACTCGAAGTCAAGAATCCACCACTGCTGGGTGGACAGGAGGGGGCGAAAAAAAAAAATCCGCGTCTGAACCGAAGCTCGAACCTGGACTTTCCGCTTCGGAGACGAGCGCACTAAATTACTATGGTTAGTTTACGAAAAATTTGCAACAGTTCAATATTGCAAAGGTACTAGATCTACATAATGTACATGTATGTTGAGCCTCTGGTCAGCGTTTTCCAGTAAGAATCACAAAGAAATTAAGATGTGTTTTGAGTAGACGTAAAGGGTGTTGAGCTACTCTCATTATTTTGTCTTGCGTCCCATTTCAGCACGACGCCACCACACGCCTATTTCTCTTTAGTTGCTTTGTCTATCCAATTTAATCCAGAAGGTGGTGGAACTCTCCCAAACATAAGGTTCCCTTGATGAATAAAATTTGGTGAATACTATGCCTTCATTTATTGTGATAATACACGTATACAGTATCGGTGTATAAAAGAATTTTATTATATATATATCTATATATATCTTCGGATATATATATATATAAAGCACATGTATTATAAAAGACATAGCCTGGAGAGGGATGGGCTCCTCAATGCGATACTGCCCAACTACACACTTCATTGTCAAGACACGGTGAAATCTGGCGCTCGTCAGTTTTGGGGCATACAGAGTTTTTGGTGATAGGTCTGAGCCTGATCATTTGCCTGGATTTTGGTGAAGGAAAAAAACCCCCACTCATGTATCTAGAATGGAAGTCGAGTTATTTGCGATTGAAAGGGGTGGGGTCGCATAGTTTCTGTGGTAAATTAAGTGTGAAAATGGCCACCAAAATGTTGTGGCTTACAAAGCTTGAGAGACCTTGAACCCTGCAAATTTACGTTTTTTGTGTCTTTAATCAAAGTTATTCAGTACAATTTATTTTTAAATGTGTTTTTAAATTTATATAAAAGGTGTTAAGCCAAAAACAAAATGAAAATTCACAAAAACAAAAGTTGCCCAAATGGCTAGAAAAATGCCGGTTTCTTTGATTTCATTATTTTGACGAGCGCCTGATTTCACCACGATTTCTCATTCTCATAAATAAACAAATTACACACATCTAAACAAAAATGCCAGTTATAGCATTAAAAATCTGTTGGAAGTCAATCTTAAACACTCTCTGGACACTGTGCCAATTATTTCCATGAGACATCAGGACTGTCTCAGAGCATGAAGCCCGTACGGATACAGAAAATGTAAGTCAAGACGTTGTGAAAAAGTTGAAAGTTACTTGGAGTCGAACGCCAAGCGCTTTAGATTCTTTGACTGAACGGGAGAATGTTTTATAACAAAAGTTCGTCCATCATGAGTACATGTGTAACAGTAATAGCAAACAACTAATTTAATTATCACAAACGTCCCAACTTGAGTCAGCAACGCGTTTCCTTTGCTCAAGGTTGTAGGGTAGTCTGTATAGTACATGTACAATAATAATTGTATCATTAGTACTAGATCTACAGCTTGACCACTTGTTTTACTTTTGTAAGTTGTTTTTTAAAAAAAAGGGGGGGGGGGGGGAGGCGGGAGCGGAGAAATGTAAATCCTTATATGACGTTCCCATTAGATATATTTATGTGAGGCATTGTGGTGAAATCAGGCGATCGTCAAAATAATGAAATCGAAAAAACAGACATTTTTCTGCCATTTTGGCAATTTTTATCAAATTTATGTTTTTGGACTCAACACCTTGTATGTCCATATAAAAACACAACTATGTCAATGTGAATTTTACTGAAAAACGTTGATTTAAGCTACAAAACACGCCATTTTTCCGTTTTCAAGGACTCTCAAGCTATTGAAGTTACCAAACTTTGGTGACCATTTGCTCGCTAATTTTACCACCGAAACCAGGTGACCCCACCTCCTTCAGTCGCAAACATTTTGACTTCTATTCGAGATAGATGGGCACTTTATTTATTGACAGCAAGGCAATTGAATAAGTTTTCATATGATACCAATAACTCCACATGACCAAAAATAGACGAGCGCCTGATTCCACCGCGTCGTGACACATATTTATATCTATATGTAGCCTATAACTGCCAAGTCTTCAGCTGCCTGTACAACGGCAATTAACGTAACTTGGGTCAAAATTGGCAAATTAGTTAAATACTTGAATGAAGAACTGACGGGGTGTTCCATGCTTCCTCGCCTCTCTTCATAAGGGTCCATTTCAGTGTGAACAGGCTGATTAATTGGCAAATTCATACCTTGTTAATGCAGAACTTTCAGCTACAACTCGTGTGTTTGGAGTTTTTGGTTGGTTTGCTTTTGTCGTGACCAAACGTCTCAAATCTCCATTTTGTAACCACTGGCGCTGATCAGAGTTTTTCTTTGCTATTGTCTATTGGTTCCAGACAGACTATTTTCGGCTGTGTAAACAGCTGAAGTCTTGTCTAACGAGGCGGCCCAGAGTGTCCCTGTACCTAGAACTCATGTTGTAGTAAATGATGAGATTGACGCTGGAGTTGACGGAGTACAGGAAGTAGGACACCGCCCAACACACGCCGTACGCGTAACCATAGCGACGCCCGTAATAAAATTCTGGAAGTGACAAATAAGTAATAGGGATGGCTTGGGCTGGCGCAAAGCAAACTATGAATACAGCGGACACGATGACCACCATTTTCCCTGCTCGCTTCTCAAGACTTGGCAGCGTCTCTCTTGAATTTGTCACCGTACGAGGTATCATATACGTCATTTTCAGACGCCATTTTGTTTTACGTCTCAGAGCGAGCATCAGAGTTCCGGTGGACACGAGTAGGCAGATGAACGACGCCACCTGCAGGCTTGTACAGACGATGTTGGTCACGATATAAACCACAGGGCTTGTATTGCCGAAGTGAACATTTATTACGATGGTACTTTTATTTGTGCCAGGATTTCTCTCCCACGACATGCCAAACAAAGAGAAGACTGGGGAAATAGTTGCCGCTACGCAGACGAGAAAGATGGCAGCCATAGTAATGGCTGACCGACAAGGCGTGATGATTTGTTTTACCTTGAACGGCAAAGTAGCACACAAACAGCGCTCCACCGAGATGAAAACAGCCGTGCAGCAGCTGTTTAGAGTGAGACTGTAGATGATCCATGTACCTGAAGAAAGAAAGCATTGTTGCACATGTATTAAGAAAAAAGTTTTTAAAAAGTAAAGAGAGCAAAAAGAGCAGAAATACTTTTTGTTACTTACAGTGGTGTTAACAAATAACGTTGTTTCCTCAATTTTGTTATGAGCGCTTTGAAGGATGATTTATTCTATATATTGCGCAAGCTTTTGCATTGCTTTTTTTTCTTATAAGCTATTCAATTTTTTAAGACTCAAAAGATTTTGAATGAAAATAACCTTGTGAGATTCCCAATGTTATCGACTATTTTAAAATATATTCTTATAGAAGTAGCTGAAATATGTATTAAAACTGTCCCCGCGGTTTTATGCACACAAACAATATTCTGAAATTATGCTAACCCAGCCTAAAAATGTAAAGTTATGCGGTTCTGTTAATCTTAACAAAGAATGATAAAGGAAATTAATAAGAAATTATGCAAAAAAAATATGATCAAATTTGGCTAAATTATGCGGTGTGCCTAAAACCCCGGGGAAAGTTAAACAGTTGCTTCCTGAGAAACAATTTATTCCATCTACTGTTCTTACAAGTAACCCAGATTTCAGGTGGAACGTGTAGATAGCCCAACTCCAAATCGGCGGAGACCAAAGCGTAGACGACCAAAAACATCAGATTCAGCATATCGGAGAAGGCCAATGAAAACAGAGAGACGTTGACACTTTCCCGGAAACCTTGGTGCCAAAACACAACCAGGTTGATCGCATTGGCGCCGAAACCAGCCACACACACGGGAACAGCCATCAGAAGTATGACGAGACGGGTCAGGTTAGGGCTTGGCAAAAGTTTGACGTCACAGGTCACGTTAGGGTTTGGCAGAAGATCAGATTTTTCAAAGTCAATCGCCCCATTTCTATCTACAAGTGGTGTCAGGGAGGAGTGGTTTTGTATTTCCATTATCCCAAAATCTCACAGAAGTTGTGGGTTGGATACACGATTAGGAAGCCAGCACTCCGTGTGAAATCCCCACTGGAAGATGAAAAGAGGGAGGCCGAGATGCACCCGGGAAAGAGATCTGGGGACACATCTCAGGCATAAGGGACACAGAAGCAGTTGGAGAGCCCTTCTTGACAGCCTATGGAGAGCCCTTCTTGGCGGCCTATGGAGAGCCCTTCTTGGCAGCCTGTGGAGAGCCCTTCTTGGCGGCCTGTGGAGAGCCCTTCTTGGCGGCCTATGGAGAGCCCTTCTTGGCAGCCTGTGGAGAGCCCTTCTTGGCAGCCTGTGGAGAGCCCTTCTTGGCAGCCTGTGGAGAGCCCTTCTTGGCGGCCTATGGAGAGCCCTTCTTGGCAGCCTGTGGAGAGCCCTTCTTGGCAGCCTGTGGAGAGCCCTTCTCGGCGGCCTGTGGAGAGCCCTTCTTGGCAGCCTAAACTAGGGTGGAAAAGGCAGATAATGACGACGACTGTATTGGTACTGTCTATGAAGGACAGCTCTCTTGCCACCTTATTTCATATTTGTTTTCATGACGTTGCTTTTTGTAAATTACATGTATGCCGAATGGCATCAACAAAGTATTTTCAATGTCTTTCAAGACACTCTAGGTCCGTTTGTTGTAATCAGTTTATGATCAAATTCACAATTAGTCCTACCTTAATTAAGAAAGATGGGTTTCTCTCCCCACTCAAAGGTGCTGTATTTTTTAACATATCGTGGAAACACGGAGTAAGTGAGCATTACGAAAATGTCAGCCTCTTAAAGTTAGAGGTAGCGAAAGTGGACGGCGGCTATAAAAAGACTGACAAGCTTTAATCTACACCGAACGGTAAGCCTATCTATCTGTCCTTGGATCGTATCTGTTCTTGAGATGAGATATGAACCAGAAGTCAGAGCCAACACATGATTACGTACAACGCTGTAGACAGAGTCACCCTTCACAAGACAGCAGGCAATCTCACGTTGATTGATTCAGTTCGCTAAAGAAGGCAGTATTTATTACAACTTATGATTTAACGACTGCGCTCTGAAGACGTATCATTTTACTGTACTCTCTGCCTGAAGCGTTTGGTGAAGTTAATTTACGAAGAGAGTGCGGTCGAGTTACTTGAGATTTGTATCTCTTGTCGAGTTCGCCAAAATTAGGCCTATATCAACTATATCCCGTGTGTTTTATCTTTGGCAAAAGCATGTTTGACTTTATATTGAACTGCTCCAAGCATTTTGGAAAGATGATAGGCACTGTTTAAAGAACGCAAAATCTCCTTGAAGCATTATCGTCGTTTTGCCGAAAGTATCGATGCTATAAACACTTCCATCAAACAAAATAATTTTCTCGATTTCTGCAGAATTTGCTTCGCAATTGGAAATACAAACATTATATAATGTATTAAGCTTCTTAAACATCCGAGCCAGTTTTGATAGTTTAAACACGCCTAAGTTCGTTAGTTCTGGAATGTCACAATTGATTGCAGAAAAATGTACGAGCGATTACTGGATTAGGAAGACAAATTTGACCTCTCTGAATACTGCTGTAGCTCGCTGTGTGTCTTACCAATTTTCTGTATAAATAAACAAAATTAGATTTATTATTGTCAGTTAAGAGATGTGTAAATTTATAAATGCATTAGTGCTCTGCGTTTGGGGTACACAATAAAACGATTATATGGAGCTGTTTACCTTAAATGACTAAATTAAGCCCTATAAACTCTGATGTTTCTTCTCGACATTTTTATTAAACCGAAATTTTAAGAGGGTTTTTTTTTTTCTTTTGGCCTCTCTTCGGCATTATGTGAAGACAAATATCATGCCGACGCGTTTCTCTTTACTTGAACTCAAACTTTAAAATATAGATATTATATACAGTGTAGGGAGAAGAAGCAAGACATACAGACGGAAACAACAGAGGAAACGAAAAGACTTGTGGATCAACCACTACCACTGGCACCCTCCACACCACGCGCTGGGTGACAAAAGTGGCTTCTGACAGATCGCGAAGTACAGCAACTAAACAGGTTTGTGACTTGGACTCATTTATTTTTTTTCTGATACTAGAACTAATGTCTCTCCAACACAGCGGCATGTGAATAGATTCTACTGTGAGTGAGAGGCTCAAACTCTACCCAAAAACATCCTTTAAATCTAAATCAGTCATTTCTTTTCTAATTCCCAATGGAACGAGATTTACCGAAATGAGCGAAGAAGAAGCGCTCAGTTTAATTGACCGAGGAAAAAAAATGGAAGTACGAGTATAAAATAGGGAGTACATAAATCAAACCCTGTTCAGTTAGATCTAGACCTACACCAGGGCCTGTATGCATGTCGGTTTGTATAGAGTGGACTAAACGCATTTATCCAACCTGTACGGGCGTTTAGGCTGGAACAATCTGTATGCACGTCAATCTGGTCAACCTATATTCTTTACGGATTTTCGAGTTTGAGTTTCAGGGACCATACTGACCCCTTCGACACGTGCGACGGCACAGAAGTGTTTCACCAACTTCCGATTTCGTCGGAAGATGTAAATGTATACGCGGTTAGGGCGCGTATAGCTATCCAGTAACTGCTTTTAAGCTAACCGGCTGACGTGCATACACTCATACTGGCCTACATATCACCACTGAGCTCAACAATGACTAGATCTATGTTACCAAATTTATTCTGACTGTGAGAAAGGGGGATGACGGTTCTTTTTGTATGTATGTATTAGTATAGGGTTTTACGGCGCTCGCAACTGCTAAGGTCATGGATGATGGTTCGGAGTGCGACGAACCTGCAAAAACAATACAATAAGGCCCATGCTCTCTCAAGCCTTGACAAGCATCAGAAAGACAAAAGCTGATGCACAACTATTACATGTACTATTACATGCGGAATTCAATTCGATAAAGCAAGATCGGCCCTCCACGCAAAAACAAAAGGGGTGTTTTAAAAGAATTGGGACAGGCTTCAAATTCAAGTCTGTGGCAGCCCCAGCAATAACGGAAGAGGAAATCATAATTAACACTTAACACTCTGTCGGTGTATTTTTAAATTATGTGTGTGTGTGTGTGTGTGTGAGTGTGTGTATGTGTGAGTGTGTGTATGTGTGTGTGTGTGTGTGCGTGTGTTTTACAGCGCTCGCAACTACATACGGTCTTATGAACGCGCGGGACACATTAAACATTTTCAGTTTGGTAGGAATTAATTTCAAATTTAGCTCGGGTGGCGGCCGAAGCCTTCTCTTATCGATTTCGGACCACCACGGGACCTTTATCGAGCGCAACTTGCACACGGGATCTCTGAGATTGTTCGCCCTTTACCCGAGAAGGCTAGGTGTTTGTTCTTACTTGTTAACTACATGTACCCTAAGATCACGGGTGTGGAGTTAGGAGGACCAAGGAGTAGCAGTAGGCCTGGAAGGCTGCAGAAAGAGTCAGGGGAGGTGGCAAAGGAGGTGAGGGGGTGGGGTAGAAAGTGGAGAAATTTGTTCGACAGCGCAGGAAGGGGGGTGAAAGTAGAACATTTTAGAGAAGAAATTGTTTTCCCCTGACCTGATTCGAACCCGGGACCTACTACTGATTGAGAGGCGAACGCCATAACCTCAAGACCACTAGAGCCTCCTGTGGGCTCACGAGAGCACAGGTCCATGATTGTGTTGAGGGGATGTTGTCCTAGAGAAGGAAAATGAAGGACATGAGTAGGCTACTTAAAGGTCAATGAAAGGCAGACAGAAACACGACAGGCTGATGATGGAGAAACAAGAAAAGTTGACCCAAAACTACCTGCGTATGGGCCAACAATGACCCAACAAGATGTCCCCATCCATGTGTGCAAAAAGTACAGAATGAAAAAGACCAGGGCTGTTTTCAAACCCCGAGGGTCCCTTTTACCTCACAGCAACCATGGTTCAAACGACAACCAATCAGATAAACTGAATACATTGTACATCGATGAATAATATGGCAGCCACGCTGCCTTCAACTTCAAAGTCTACTCACCTCACAAATCACAGTGCCCACAAAAGACTGATGCTACTCTCCAAATATGGCAATTTCACTCGTAACATAAAATCACGATATTTAACTATGACTCATGTGATGTAATTATTTTTCTGGAGCTCTTTACTGTAGTGATTAGCAGTCTTAATTTCCCCCATCTCTAACAACCAGGGTTCTTTGTGCCTCCTTTTATCTTATAGCAGACTGTCCATGAAGAAAGGGCATTTTGTGCACATTAGGTGTAAAACTTCTTTTAAAAAACCAACAAACACGACATAACCTAAAGAAAGGCGATCCTGTGAAAGGAAGTACGATATTCATCTATACTCTCAAAATAGAATTTTAAAAATAGGTTGCCGTTAAACTGCTGCGATATTTACAAAATAAGAAAGTTACGAATGATTAAATCTACCCACTGGATTATCACAGTTCTTCAACAACAATCCAATTCAGCTTATACGTGTACTTTATTTTTGAGTTAGCACCAGGTGATCGGCGCACAAGAAGAAAACAGGCCATTAACAACAATGATGATAAAGTGATTCGAATCTGTTGAATGCTTGGATCGGCTTAAAAACAAGTTTTACTGTTTTGATTGGTGTGGGTGAGGGGGGGTGTCCTTATTCTTGGACAACTGTACTGTACTGTTCCCTAATAAAATACACAATGAAGAGATATTTCAAACAGAATTAAAAAACAAGTCTGACTGTTTCGGGGGAGGGGGTTGGAGGGGGTCGGGTGGGGTTGACAGCTCAGAGAACTCTGCCAATGAGAGGATTCACACTCTTAGACTCCTGCACACATTAGGCTCAGATTTTGCCACAGCATTAGCCATTAGGAAAGTCAAGAAAATCAAACATTTTCCACAGCTCATCTCTACAAATCAATATCAGTCAAAAGACCGCTATGATTTCAGGATGGAATATGTACTATAAGCCTATAGACTGTGGCACATCCCTGCTCAAGGTCAGGTTGTTACTGTTCCTG